CGGCGCAGAGAGGGGGGGGGGGCCCGCTGGATACCGATTCGATGCTATCCGACGGACGGACAACGGCGGGACCCCCCATATCTGCCCCGGGGCTGTGTTATATCAGATACTGGGCCCCCCTTTAGGCTCAGGCCCCGGGGCGGCCGCCCCTGGACTCGCTACTCTTCCTCCAGTGATACAGTTATGGGTGCCTGATAAGCCAATTGCCAGGTAACATTGCTATCACTTGGGGGCAGGGAGAGAATACTTAGTCCTGTTTAAACCTAATCGAGTGTCACTTAAAACTTACACTCAGCTTTTTCTTCTTGCTTCTGTGGGTGAACAGATTGTCAATAATTAATCAATGTCAATAAATGAATAATAAATATTGTGATCAACAATCTTCAAAATATAAAATTTACACCATGTAACTCCTATTGGTGCTCTAAAGCACTATATCATGTCCATGCCATATACAGTGTCCATCCATATTTATGTGCTCCAAGTAATTAATAAAAAAATAAAATAAGTGCACCACACTTTTTCCATCCACAGTGATAGTTCTTAAAACCTGCACAACTTTTACTATGGATGGAATAAGTGTGGTGCACTTGAGATATTCAAAACGCTTTTGGATTTGTCTATTTTATATATCATTTTTATTAATTATTTGGAACACATGAATATGGATGGATGCTGTATATGGACATGATATAGTGCTTTAGAGCCTTGGTTCTCAACTGGTGGGTCATGACCCAAAAGTGGGTCGCGACCCCATGTTCAGTGGGTCGCAACATGCCTTCCTTCTAATTGAGAGACTCCTCAGCCTCCCCTAGCGCAGCACTGTCAGTTCTTGTGCCGAGCAGGTATTCAAAATATGCTGCCTTGCCCCGTGTGTCAGCTTGAGGTGGGGTGGGCTGGAAGTATGGCCATAAGGGAGCTCCATCCATATGTGCATTGCTTACAGCTCACACATGTGCCCTGTAGAGGTGTCTGGACTGGACTGACGGCACATTCTGGCTCCTGGCACCTCTGCAGGGTGTGCAAGGGAGCTGTGAAAGCAATGCACATATGGATGGAGCTCAATCACAGCACAGCAGCCCATTGAAAAAAAGCATTTAAAACATTTTGGGAGTATGTGTGAGAATGTCTGTGGTTGTGTGTGTCTGTCAGGGTTTTTGAGGGTCCGTTCACACTGGTACAAATGCGTTAATCACACAGTCCCATGCGAATAATGCACTCTACCACGCAATTGCACCTACTGCGTGTTCTGGTGTGGAAGGTGCATTGCTATTAATTTGAATGACACCCCAAATGAACCTCCCACGCACAGTTGGATCGCCTGCACCCAAATGCCCGGTACTGCAATGCCGTGCATTCCATTGCAGTGTGACTGGTGTCGTAACTTAATGACCAAGGACAAATGTGGGTCCTAATGTTACACAGGTTGAGAACCACTGCTTTAGAGCACCAATAGGAGTTACATGGTGTAAATGTTATATTTTGAAGATTGTTGATCACAATATTTATTATTCATTTAAATCCATTCACTATTTATTAGAAGTGCAGCACATTGATTATTGATATTATATTTAAGAGGTGAATTCTTCTTGTATTGCTTGCTGTTATAAAGAGATTGGCGGTAGGTTCAATTTAAGACTCATTGGGTGAACAGAGTGACAGAGTAGTGAAGGAAATTTATGTAGTTGGAGGGACAACATCAAAGTATAGTTTTTTCTTTGGCAAACCACTGGTGTAATGTAGGGCATTCATAAACACCACAAACATGAAAGATAAAGCAACAGTCATCTACATTTATATAGGTCTGTTCCCTAATCCTAGGACATATTTTATTTCTTTTAACTCCTATAATATGAAATATGTCCTAAAGTACAATTATACAGGTGTGTATCAGGTTTAGGCACCTTACTCTAAGCAGGGTGAGTCCTTAAATTTAGCTCTGACGGGCTGCAAATAGCCTAAGACAAACGTATTGTGCTGAGTGCTGTATTCAACTGGTATCCTAAGCCAACTGTTATTGTTTGCTTCTGCCTGCTGCTGGGATGTGACCCTTGCCATAAAACAAGGCCCAGTAATGATGATTATGAATATTTGTGTCTCCCTGGCCAACCAATAGGAATTAAATTCCTGGTGTTGGGGAAGGACATAAGTATTTGGGGTTGACCTTGAGAGTGGCCCTTTCTCCCGTGGGCTCCTGTCTGGGGTAGGATGTGTTATTTACTGTAGTTCTGCTAGACCTGCTGTCCAGGTAGGCCTGCATGTGCCCAGAAAGAGAGGCCTATATTTGGGGCTGAAGCTTTCCTGCCTGAGAGGGGTAAGCTGACCTAAGATGGCGTGACTTTAGGTTTGATGTACTTATTGAGGTTGACTAACTAAAGGCAAATTGGCTGGTCACTTTGCAAGGGAATTTGCATTTTGCAGGGGCAGATTTCTCATACTTTGGTGAATGAGGTAAAGCTCTCCTGACTTCTATGACCCAATAACGTGCTAGCAAAAATACAGATTTTTTATTTTCCTTCCACATAATTGGGTATTCAGCTTACCCTGTACGGCTCTCTTGCAAAGTGAACAGTCTATATGCCTTTGTTGACAATTTTTGAGGATATGTTGCCACACATGTACCTAAAATTGTAACATTCAACCTTTCTGATTATATATTGTTTATTTGTTTTTGTTTTCCCACCACCTGGGTAAAATATCTGTGTTTTGTATGAAATGCTCAACTTTCAATAAAACATTTATAACAAAACACTGCATGGTGCAATAGCATGCATACCATACACATGCTGATTGCTATAATATGCAGTATTTTTGTTTAGTCCATGACTCATTAATGTACAGTGTAATTTTCTTTTTTCCACATTACAGTGTTTCTCTAACATGTATCATATTACCCTACTTTTTATCACAGTACCGTACTACATGGGCACATATCTGCTAATGTTATAAAAAGCAACTATGGACTTGAGTTATCTGTAGAAAAAAATAATATACACTGTATATAATTTGATTTAGTGTACAAACTAACTGAAACTAAGGTTTAAGGTTTTTATTACTGCTTCACTGTAGCAGAAAATTGTGTCCAATCTGTGTGATACATAACTATTTTCTGAAGAAACAATAAGAGCTTTGAATTCCTTGAGGTGGTTCAGGGGTCACACACATCTAAAAGTCTGATGAACAATTTAACAGTAATTTGTTCTTATCAGCCCCACAAGAGAGATATTCAGCAGCACAGTATTAAGTACAGAACAGAATAAATATTTCAGAGCTTTTACAAATGTCAGCAGCACACTGGGGTTGATTTACTAAAGTAGTATATAGGCTGTTCGCTTAGCAAGGTGCATTTCCATTTAGCTTAGTATATCATCCAATCACATGCAAGCTAAAATTTAGCATTTTTAATTTTCCTTGCATGAAATTTGGTATTCACAGCTTTACTTAACCCACTTTGCAAAGTAAATATGTTCTACTCCTTTAGTAAATCAACCCCACTTTGTCTTAAAGTGAGCCCCTAACTGACCAACCTAATTATCCTGTCAAACTGCAGGTACCATGTATGTTTGTTAAGCCTTAGGTCTATTTCTGTGTGCCTGGGGAGCAAAGTAACCCTTTACACATACCTAGAGGAGGCAATCAAAATCATTCTTTTAACTCTTATGTCTTCTAGCTCATCTCCGAAGAGCTAGAAGACTTAGCCGTAAACTTATTGTGGGTATTTGCTATAAGCCTCTGAATATAGGGGAGGAGGGGGAAGCAAATCTACACTCCCAAATAGAAATAGCTGGGAGGGAGGGCAATGTAGGGCTGATGGGCAACTTCAATTACTAGGATGCCATCCTAGATTTAATAATTACTAATAATGGGGAATTAATCGAGGATATTGTAATTGGGGAGACACTGGGTAGTAGTGATAAAAAAAAAAAAAAATTATAATTATATATTTGTTCAATAAATTTATATCTTTTATATACCTATGACACTGAAGTTTATTGGACTTGTTCTTTCTGGAGCCACCAAAAAACCCCATCTTTCTCTATCCCTTCTTTTGTTATATGCTTTTACCATATCAAAGTAATAATGATTGAATGAATGAATTCAAAGTTAATTAATCAAGTAGTATTAAGTAGTATTAGACTCTCAAAAAGTATTTTTTGCCCAAACACATTTAAAGTCATCATGATTCCAAACAACTGTCACCAGCTCTCTCAGTTCTCTCTCTCTTCCTGAAATGTCTGCCCATTACAAGATCACAAGGGACAGAGCAGCCTCCAGCAGCTCTCCATCTACTAGTTTAGAGAAGGAAGGAGGGAGGAAGGAGGAATGGGGAGCAGGGGGGGAGGAAGTGAATTGCCTTGCTGTGCCTGTGTGTTTGTGGAGACACACACAACTTACTAGCACACAGAGGGGGGGCTTATTTGCTTTGCAGGATCCTATGGAGCCACCCTTGTATGTGCTAGTAAGTTGTGTGTGTCTCCACAAACAGGATATCAGGGAAATGTACAGGGGACCAGCTGATTCTGCAATAAACTAAAACCTTTACACATCCTTTGTAAGTGATTTAATCAGCATTTCAAATAGCTTAAAAACCTTTGACTATTACTATAACCTTGGCACATTATTATTATTATTATTATTACCTACTAATTATACATTGTGGATGGAACATTTATGGAAAATGCAGATTTAGATTGATGATAGCCCACGCTGTATTTTCATTAGAACCTATAAAGAAAAACAAAAAAACTGTGTGGCACCATACTGCTAAAAAGGCATTCTGACGGGTACAGCTTCAACTAAGGGATCCACACACTGCCCTCATTTACAAGCACAGTATGTGGAGTAGTCATGTATTAGTGGACTTTAAGTTTTGCTTAGAATCCCACTTTAAAATTATAACATGTGTTTAGAACAACATCAATAAAATCCCATATGGCTTATGAGTTGTTGATTGGCAATGGCTGTGGCACATTCCATAACAGAAAAATGTTAATACTTACTTTATGAAAGGTTCTGAAGTAGGCAGCTTTTTCGTCAGGGAACTTTTCTAATCTTCTTGGACCTTTGCTGGAAGCTTTCTTAAATACTAACCAACAGCGCCTATAAATCTGTAGACAAATAAAATGCATACATAAATAGGGTATTTAATAATCATGAAGCACATGAAAACTACTTTTAACACCATTTTACCATGTTACTTCTGAATTTGGCATTTTAAAAGAAATGTATTTTTTTGACTGCTTTGCTGAAATATTTTAGAGAGGCAGGTTAGTGGACTAATAAATGGAAAAAACAACTGCTACTCAATCAATGTATACTTAGTATAGGCAGTACCCAGTGGGAGAGATAATTTACTAAATGCACAATATAATACAAATATCTCCAGCACTCAGCCTTGCTAGCCGGTAAAGAGGATCCATCAAATTTGTTTCTGCTGTAGATATATCAGTCTCACTTGCATTTATATATGTGTAAGTTGCATGATCTATCAAGGTGTCTCTACATCTTTCAGTAACGTAAGACAGTGCCAGTAATCTAATATATTTTAGAATTATATAAACTAAAAGCAGACTTACTGATCAGCTACTTTATTCCTCCCTACTGTTAGTAACAAATTAGACTGGTTCTCTATACTGAGGAGCAGAGTTGAATGCAGGGGATTTTTTTATATAACTAAAGAAATGGTGGAAAATTCTGTTTTAAACAACTATTTATATATCTGACCATCTTTGTATTATCTGAATTATCATGTCTGTAGAGCCAATTCATCTTTGTGACTCATATGGTTTTAGGTTGAGTGTTATTGCTTGCGATCATTTGCACTTTGAACAGTACTCTGTTGCCAAGGTAACATTTTTTGAAAACAAGCTGAAAAATAATCTCGACTATTACTTGCCATTCTTATCATCTGTTAATTAATGTTCTTTTGCATGGAATGTTATGTTTCTTGTTTATGTGCATCAAATATTGGTAAAAACGTATAAAAACAGTTCTGTGTTTGGCTGCCCTAAGCCAAAGCTGGTGGCACTTGTGTCAATGGGGGTCATTTACTAAAAGACAAAATTTTTCACTTAGCCAAGTCAACCTTTCTTTAGTTTGACACAGAGCAATGTAAAAAATAGGTATCAATAAGCCTTTGTTTTAGTTCTTGTCGGTCCACGCTTGCCCACCTCAGCCAGGTGCTTGCACAATTCATCATTGGTAATGTGGTTGCATTCATTTTTTGCATTTTTAATATGAACTTCTTATTAATGTCCATAGTTTTGGAATTGGGTGTCTAAGAAGCTTACATAAGTGTGATGGTCAGCTGTTTTTTGAAACCATATAGTGTACTTATAAATGTGTGTAATTGCAGTCAATCAAATTTATGTCTATTATTTCTATTCACAAACCACAGTTATTTATAGGTATGTTGTTGCTGTAGCTTTTTTTTTTTTACTTAACAAAAGGTAACAAAAGAAGTCATAGGAAACCACTCTGAAAATTACAATGGCAAAAAAAATTAAAAGCCACCTATAGCTAATGTTTTCTTTAGAGATCCTCAGTCAGGTTTTTTTTTTTTTTGTCAGTGTCCCTGAAAGTTTCTTCTCACTTCCTGCCTGAAATGGGGTCAGAACAGGAAGCACAGTACAATCTCTCTAACTGGGACACAGGCAGCTGCAGTGATATCATGCTAAAGGAACACTTTAGACACAAACACTGCTTTCGTCAGTTCTTCTTTAATGACCATCAATGAACTGGATAAACCATTGTCTAGTTTATTTCAGGATGCAGTAGCTACAGTTTTTGCACCAATCCATCTTGCACTGGTCTGATGTCAGTAGAGCAAAATCTGATTGCTTGGTAGAAGCTAATGCAGTCACTGCAGACTTGGAAATAAAGGAAACTTATATTTTGAATGAGACTCCAGATTTCCAGTAGAATCAACAGATCAGTTTATATGTTCAATGGACATCTCTATGAATGTCAGATAAAGTGTGAATGATGCCAGTTGTGCCACTTTACAAATATAACTTTGACCCACAACTAACAGTATATTAACAAGTCAGGGCACTTCTACCTACAGGATGCTATACATTAATGTAAACACATAACTGTAACTTTAAACCTCTCTTTGTTTTGTTTAATGTACATAGTTTATAAAAAAAATACTTAAAGCGGACCTTTACACTCATAAATCACATTCTACCAATGCATACCTCTGTGTATGATGAATAATAATAACATAGACATGTCAGGTGTAAAATGCTGTGATTTTGAAATACTTACACTTGCAGAGCATTCACTTTCTGCTTTGAAAGGGCAAAATGACTTCAGTTTGCCAAAGCAATGCACACTGGGATTGCCTTGTCATCAGCAGAGCATTGCTGGAAAATATCATCTCAGTGAAAGGCATTTTTCTCCCCTGAGATGATGTGCATGGTCACATGTCTAGTCACATGTGCCAGTAATCCAGGAAGTAATAGGAGAGCTAGTTATCTGCCCTTAGTAAACATGGCCACTGTCAGGGGACTGGGGAAGAAAAGAGAAATAAGGCATGCAAAGAATACAAAGCCGTAAATTATCTAGAAGTATCTCTTTGTATATTGGTGTGTTTGTTGTTTTTTTTTAAAGATATGGGTAAAGGTCCGCTTTAATGTACTGAACAAAAGCCAAACAAAGATTGTTCATTTTTTGATTGTTCTGAGTGGCTGACTACCAAACAGCTTATGGCTCTGCAGAACTGGCCTTATGAACTGTACGAATGAGAAGCAAGTTCAGATAGCAATAGATTTATCCAACCAAGAGGTCAAACAGTTTTGTTATAAGGAATACCGCAATTCACTGCTTTGTGATTCAAACATTAGTTTGGTAACCTTTTTATGGGTGAAGTGATGTTTGATTTAAAAAAAGAATGTGAAAGAAGCCAGAACTTCAACATGAAGCAAATTATCTTCTTTAGTGATGCTTTGGACAAACATATTAAGAAACATTAAAATTTTGAGGACAAAAATCACATAAATCTAGCAACCAAAATTCATGAACTTTGTTAATTAAAAAATAAAACTAGTGACCTAGAGCTTGCCTTGGAGTAGCTTTTACTACAAGACCCTCATCCTCAGGACACTCTGATTTGACACAGCTCCAGCATGTCTTGGTAGTGTGGAAGCTTACCACCATCCAGTCTCCCACATTCAATTAGTTAGTGCGGCAGCCTATCATAGTTACTGTATGAGCCAATGGGAATATATGTGTGAACACTACCAGGAAGTGCTGAGGCTTTGCCCAATTAAAATGGCCTGGCATTTTGGAAGACTAGGGTAACTCAAAACTACTGCAGGTAAGTGCAGGTGCCTCTAAATGACTGCAGTTTATACCTGTAAGCAGTTTTTTTTGTAAAAGTGTCAGCTTTTCTACCTACTGTCTTTTACTAATTGTAGCTTACACTTTGATTTCTCACGTGTCCTACATCTACAGTTACATTTTACTTCTTGCATGCTGCATGGAAGGTCATCCTGCTCTAGTCACATGATTAGTCCAAATGTAATACCAAAAACTGCTGACAATGGCTCGGAAACAATCACATGAGCAGGAAAGTTCTAACATTTCCCCACTTGATCTAAAAGTAAGGTCTTGGCTAGAATTATTATTATTATTATTATTATTATTATTATACAGGATTTACATTGCACCAACAGTTTGTGCAGCACTTTATAAAATGGAGGGAGACAGTACAGTTAAAATACAATTTCAAAACAGGAGAGTTAGAAGGGTCCTGCTATTAATGGCTTACAATCTAGTAGTAGGGGTTAGTGATACAAAAGGTAAAAATTGTATAGGATAAGCAAATTGAAGAAGTAAAAGGACTGTTAATATGGGATGAGGTGGGATAGGGTTCGCTAAAGAGATGAGTTTTCAATGCTGACCTGAAGGTGGACAGAGTAGGAAATAAGAAGACAGATTGGGGTAAGGAGCTACAGAGGATGGCAGATGCTCTGGAGAAATCCTGAAGGCAGGCATGGGAGGAGGTAACGAGGAAGCTGGAGAGCAGAAGGTCTTGAGAGGAGTGGAGAGGATGGTTTGGGTGATATTTTGAGATGAAGTTGGTGATGTAGTTTGAGGCAGAGTTATAGATAACTTTGTATGCTATTGTTAGTATTTTTAATTTTATTCATTGGGCAAGTGGGAGCCAGTGAAAGGACAGGCAGAATGGGGCAGTGGACACTGAATGGTTGGTAAGGTGGATAAATCTGGCAGCAGCATTAATGAAAGACTGAAGGGAGGATAGCCTGTGTGTCATGTACCTGTCTGATTAGCACTTATTCGGTGATTGAACCTGGGTCTCTGGTGCAGAAGTGCACATACCTAGCCATTCAGCCACTGGAAGGACTTCTGCTGCTGGTTTTTTGTACTCAGTAACTCTCCTTGTGGACACTTTGGCTCCACCTGCCAACCAGCTGTAGAAAATCTGCAATTAACTCAACCTTTAAATACCGGACACTTCTTGACCAGCGAGGTGAGTGTTTGATTTTCTCCCTTGTGACGCTAGCTGTGTCCCAGAAGAGAAGCTGGATCCTCTCAGATGTAGTGTTAGCGAAACTCCTTGACGTGGTCCCGCAATATTTTAAGAATAAAAAAAGGAGAGAGCCCTCATAGTGTAGCGATTAAAAACGTATACATTTATTACAAGTAATAACTTACACAGGCAAAAAAATCCGGCCGGCACAGGCAGCTCAGGAACAATTTTAAAAACCTCGTGGTTTTTAAAATTGTTCCTGAGCTGCCTGTGCCGGCCGGATTTTTTTGCCTGTGTAAGTTATTACTTGTAATAAATGTATACGTTTTTAATCGCTACACTATGAGGGCTCTCTCCTTTTTTTATTCTTAAAATATTGCGGGACCACGGCAAGGAGTTTAGCAGAGTTTTGAAGGTCAAGCGAGTAAAGCATATTGAGGAGGAGCGGGTTGTGAACTGTGTCAAAGACAGCAGAAAGGTCTAAATGTATGAGTATAGAGTAGTGGACATTGGTTTAAGCAGTTAGTAAATTGTTAGTAGGTTTTAGAAGGGCAGTTTCTGTGGAGTGTTGCAGGGAAAACCATATTGAAAGGGGTCAAGGAGGTTGTTAAT